CATAGTAGGCTGGAGGGAGGGGCCCCCTCCCTGCTCTTTCGTCATCTTCCTCTTTTCTTTTGGAGGCAGAAAGTGAAGGAAAAACGGGAAACATTCGGATCCCAAAAGGGTTGGCCTTGGTCCGGATGAGTTGGCGGACAGGAGAGAAAAGGTGCATCCATTAGACCCCATATTGCCTACTCCTGATATAGTGTCCTAGAGCTGGAAGAGACCCCCAAGGGACATCCAGTCCACCCCCGTGCCATGCAAGAAGGCACAACCAAAGCACTCTTGATAGCTTCTGCGGAAAAGCCTGCAGAGAATGAGACTCCACCACATTCCCAGGAAACCTATGCTACTCTAACGGCTCTAACTCTCAGGAAGTTCTTCCTAATCTTTTGGGTCAAATCTCTTTCCCTCCTATTTGAACCCATTGCTCCCTTGTGCCCTGGTCTCTAGAGCAGAAGAAATTCAGTCTTCCCCCCTCCTCCCCTCCCTACCCAATGGGACACCTTTTTAAATCTTGAAACATGATGATGATGATTATTATTATTATTATTAACTTTATTTGTACCCCGCTAGCATCTCCCGCAGGACTCGATGCGGCTTACACAGGCTGGAGCCTCAAAACACAATACAATAAAACATAACACAATAATAAACAAAGCAAATCAAACAATTAAGCAAAATAACAACAATAACTACATCAAGACACTATTAAAACTGGTTCGGCCGGTGCAATGGGGTACAGGGGTTAAAATGCTGAAATGGCAGGAGGAACATAGGATTAAAAGGTGCGGTGTGCAGTAACATCGGTTGTGCTAAAGTGCTTCTAGGACTTGGGATGGGGGAATTCCTAATCTGAGAAGGCACATCGGAACAGCCAGGTTTTTAGGTTCCTTCTGAAAACTGCTAAAGTAGGGGCCTGTTGGAGATCTTTTGGAAGGGCATTCCAAAGTCGGGGGGCCGCCACAGAGAAGGCCCTGTCCCGTGTCCCCACCAAGCGCGCTTGCGACGTGGGTGGGATCACGAGCAGGGCCTCCCCAGATGACCGGAGCGAGCGTGTGGGTTCGTAGATGGAGATGCGGTCACGCAGGTAGGGTGGTCCCAAACCGTTCAGGGCTTTGTAGGTGAGCACCTGCACCTTGAATTGGGCTCGGAAAATAAATGGCAGCCAGTGGAGCTCCTTAAACAGAGGGGTAGACCTCTCTTGATAATGAGCCCCGGTTAGCATCCTGGCTGCTGCCCGCTGGACCAATTGAAGTTTCCGAGCCATCTTCAAGGGCAGCCCCACGTAGAGCGCATTGCAGTAATCCATTCTAGAGGTGACCAAGGCGTGGACCACCCCGGCCAGATCTGCCTTCACGAGGTACGGTCGCAGCTGGCGCACAAGTCTCAGTTGTGCAAAGGCCCTCCCGGATACCGACACCTGAGCCTCAAGTGTAAGCGAAGAATCCAAGAGGACACCCAAACTGCGGACCTGTGGCTTCAGGGGGAGTGTAACCCCGTCCAACACAGGTTGCCACCCTATACCCCGATCGGTTTACGATCGACCAGGAGGACCTCTGTCTTGTCGGGATTGATCTTCAGCTTGTTCTCCCTCATCCAGATAGACACAGCGGCCAGGCACTCGTCTAGCACCTGAGATGCCTCCTTGGAATTAGGTGGAAAGGAATAGTAGAGTTGTGTGTCATCCGCATAGAGATGGCACCCAACTCCAAAACTCCGGATGACCTCTCCCAGCGGTTTCATGTAGATGTTAAAAAGCATGGGCGACAAAATAGAGCCTTGCGGGACCCCACAGGTCAAAGGCCAGGGGTCAGAGCAGGCGTCTCCCAGCTTCACCATCTGGGTTCGTCCCTCCAGGAAGGACTGGAGCCACGACAGAACCGAGCCCCCAAGGCCCATCCCAGAGAGACGACCCAGAAGGATACCCTGATCGATGGTATCGAAAGCCGCTGAGATGTCCAAGAGAACCAGCAGAGTCACACTCCCCTGTCCAGCTCTCTGCGGTGGTCATCCACCAAGGCGACCAAGGCTGTCTCGGTGCCATGACCAGGCCTGAAACAAGACTGTGACTGATCTAGGTAGTTGGTATCGTCTAAAAAGCTCTGGAGCTGGGAGGCGACCACCCGCTCCAGCACCTTACCCAGAAAAGGGAGGTTGGAGATTGGCCTGTAATTAGCACCGTGGAGTCAAGGGAAGCTTTTTTGAGGAGTGGACGAACCACAGCCTGTTTCAGATTAGATGGAAAAATCCCTTGCTCCAACGATGCATTGATAATCAACACAAACCAATCAACCAACCCCTCCCTGGCTGATTTAATGAGCCAAGATGGGCATGGGTCTAGAGATGAGGTGGTCGCCCTCACAGCCCCAAGAACCTCCTCTACGGTTTCAGGAAGAACAAGCCTAAAAGAATCCCACAAAGATGGACAAGCAGGTACCTCCGTCACCTCCTCTGGCACTGCGATGGAATTGGAGTCGAGCTCGAGGCGTATCTGAGCGACTTTATCTGCAAAATGGTGTGCGAAATCGCGACACCGAGCTGCTGGGTCATCAGTGACCTCCTCCACCACAGGTGGGTGGAGGAGTTCCCCCACGACCCGAAACAGCTCCGATGATCTGTTTGCTGCAGACGCTATACGGGTGGTCGTGAATGATTTCCTGGCCGCCCGTATAGCCACGGAGTATGTCTTAAGAGAGGCTTTAGCCCGTGCTCGATCAGAGACGTCCCGAGATTTCCTCCATTTGCGCTCTAGCCCCCTTCTCGTATGCTTCATCACAGTCAGCTCCCCGGTAAACCAGGGAGATGGCCTGTCACAACGCAATGAGATGGGGCGTTCGGGTGCGATCGTATCTATCGCCCTGGACATCTCCCCATTATAGAGAGTCACCAAGGCGTCAATAGAATCGCCAGGCTCCAAGGCAGGAAGAACCCCAAGATTCCTCAGGAATCCATCCGGATCCATCAGTCTCCTAGGGCGGACCATTTTAATCTGTCCTCCACCCCTGTGGAGGTTAAGAGTCGCAGCAAGTCTAAAACTGATCAGATAATGATCAGACCATGACACCGGAAGGATGTTTTGATCTTCCACTCTAATCATTTCGTTGTCCGCCACGAAAACAAGGTCAAGAGTATGTCCAGCTTGATGAGTGGGACCAGATATTATTTGTGACAGTCCTATGGTCGTCATGGTGGCCATAAAGTCCTGAGCTGCACCAGATAGGGTGGTCTCAGCGTGGATGGTAAAATCTCCCAGCACCACCAGGCGCTGGGAAACCAAGGCCGAATTAGAGACCACCTCCGCTAGCTCAGACAGGGAAGCTGCTGGGTCGCGGGGTGGGCGGTACACCAGCAGGAACCCCACACTGTCACGGCTCCCCACTTTCAAGTGGACACACTCGAACCCAGAAGCCTGCGGAACAGCGCATCTGATCACGGCGATGGATTGCCGAAAGACTACTGCGACCCCTCCTCCCCGCCCCCCTTGTCTGGCCTGCTGATGCACTCCAAAACCTGGTGGGCACAGCTGAGAGAGATTTACTCCCCCCAGCTCGTCCAGCCAGGTCTCGGTGATGCATGCCAGATCCGCCCTCTCATCCAGGATCAAGTCCTGGATGGCCGCAGTCTTACCATTAACGGATCTGGCATTAATCAGCAGGACCTTAAGACCGAGGGGACTGCCAAGGAGCCTACCACTACCTACCTTCTCCAGGGTCGCAAAGACTCTGTTGCGCTTCTCCCTGGGATATCGGTGACCCGCTATGACCCTCCTGTTCCCTCTCTGCTCCTTTTTCTCCCATCTAAACATCCCCCAGGAGGAAAGAAAAAAATAGAATCAAAGAGTTGGAAGAGACCTCATGGGCCATCCAGTCCAACCCCCTGCCAAGAAGCAGGAATATTGCATTCAAATCACTCCTGACAGATGGCCATCCAGCCTCTGTTTAAAAGCTTCCAAAGGAGCCTCCACCACACTCGGGGCAGAGAGTTCCACTGCTGAACGGCTCTCACAGTCAGGAAGTTCTTCCTCATGTTCAGATGGAATCTCCTCTCTTGTAGTTTGAAGCCATTGTTTCACGTCCTAGTCTCCAGGGAAGCAGAAAACAAGCTTGCTCCCTCCTCCCTGTGGCTTCCTCTCACATATTTATACATGGCTATCATATCTCCTCTCAGCCTTCTCTTCTTCAGGCTAAGCATGCCCAGCTCCTTAAACCGCTCCTCATAGGGCCCTTGATCATTTTAGTCACCCTCCTCTGGACACATTCCAGCTTGTCAATATCTCTCTTGAATTGTGGTGCCCAGAATTGGACACAATATTCCAGGTGTGGTCTAACCAAAGCGGAATAGAGCATGGGGAGCATGACTTCCCTCGATCTAGACACTAGGCTCCTCTTGATGCAGGCCAAAATCCCATTGGCTTTTTTTGCTGCCACATTACATTGTTGGCTCATGTTTAACTTGTTGTCCACGAGGACTCCAAGATCTTTTTCACACGTACTGCTCTCGAGCCAGGCATTGTCCCCCATTCTGTATCTTTGCATTTCGAAGGGAGGGAGGAAGAGAAGGGAATGGAGGGAGGAAAGACAAAAGTGAAGGAAGGGAAGGAAGGAGGGAGGAAAGAAAGGACGAAAGGGTGGAAGGGAAGGAAGGAGGAGGGGAGAAAGAGAGAGATAAGAAAGGGAAGGTGGGAAGGAGGAAGGAAAGAAAGAAGGAATGATAGAATGGTGAGAGAAGGGCCTGAGGAAAGAGCCCGAAGAGCCACATTTGGCCCCCTGGCTTGGGTTTCTCCATACCTGCTTTTGAGTCATCACAATAAAAGTCTGGGATTTTGTATGTTGTTGTCCTTTATTTGGATGGGGTTTGCCATGCAGGCTTCTTAAGGGCCAGTTTAAGCAACTGCAAAGAGACCCGGTTCAGGTCAGGACTCCGAAGCAGGACACAATGAGAAGTTTTATTCACCCAGGCCTTGGCCACAGATCCCGGCGCAACGGAACAAGCAAAGCATGAAAACCCCGCAGAATAGTTAAGAGATTTTTATTCTAATAGCTTTAATTACAGTGCTTGTTTGTCGAAATGAAAACTGAAAACAAGTATACAAAACAGTCGATTACTGTGTATTGAAAGCAAATAAAGAGATTTGTTTTCCACAACACTAAACAAACCAGTTCTGATAGTTCCTCAAGTTAAAGTTTAAACAGCTCCAGCTTCTTCAGTGTTTTTTTTTTATCAAAATACAAAAGAAAAAAAAAGTTAAGAGGTCTTTCTCGATGGCAAATCTGAACCTTGCAGTATGAGAGATGTGAAGGGTTTCCACACGTATACAGATGTAGGATTGTTCCAAAGAAAGAAAGAAAAAATGGCCTCGGACACTTCTAAAATGGAATGGGACTCCAAACACTCATGCTTTTATAGTTGTATTTTTCCCCTAGATGCTACGGTTAGATGGCTTGGATGGCATTTCTTACTTGCGTACAGTACTTGCTGATGGCAGAGCTGAAAAACACAAAATGGGCGGCTGTGCTCTCTGTGGACAGAATTTGCTTCCTGGAGGAGTTCTACGCAACGAAGGCCAAAACACTTACTTTTTTTGTTTTATTTTGGGGGAGAAAGGGATCCCTGTTTGTGTAGAGTGGGGATAGGGAACCAAACAGGACACACCTGGCTTCCAATCAAGGCGCAAGGGAATCAAACCCAAATCTAAGAACGAGCCGGAGGGCGACAGTGTTTGTTTGGGGTGCAACATCTTCTCTAAGCCTAAACAGAACTCTGAACTTACGAGGGCCTAACATGGAAACACAAAAAGGGGTCGGCAAGCACAGAAAGATCCAGAACGCTGCTCGTTCTAGGATCCGTAACATGTTAAATTGCTGGTATTCAAGTCGTTGCAGAACTTCTAATGGATAAGCTTGTTCAAGTGTTTCAGCTTTTCTTCCCCGGCCCCCCAAACAATATTATTTTATTACTGACACCTCCAGGCTCAAAAAGAGCCACCGAGCCTGGCCTCCGCAAAGCCAAGAGGGATCAATCGCGTTCAACTCGTGTACGACCAGGTCGCCGGCCGCTCATCTCCAAACCCATTTTCGAACCCCTTTCCCAGTACTAAACAGCGAGTCGATTTCTCTCAATAATAAAAAAGCTGAGTAATATTGCATAGGAGTACCAGAAACTGTATCATTTGAAACAAGGACTATTTACATTAAATAAGAAACCTAAACTGTTTTCAGGCTTGGATCTGCCACATGTACAGCATGGTGAAGGACATCCTGTGACAAGAGAGAAATGAAAACAGCTTCCGGCACTCAATACCACAAAGTAGCATGGTTTGCCACATCAGAATAAAGCGAAGGGAAGAAGAGGAGGAGGAGGAGGAGGAGGAGGAAAAGGAAAGGAGGGGTGGAGAAAAGAGGGAAGAGAGAGGAGAATCTTCAGGGCTTCATTTCTGGTTTCGGAGCTGATTGGACAACCAGTCCAGTCCTTCATAGAGACCGTCTCCGCTAGTGGCACAGGTGGCCTGGATGTACCAGTTCCTGTGGCGAAGAGAATGCAGTCCTAGTTTGTCTGTGATTTCTGCTGCATTCATGGCATTCGGCAGGTCCTGAAAGGGAAACATCCAGGTTTAGAAAGTGCATCTTTCTCTTAGGGAATGGCAGGGCAAAATCCACATTTTGTGCCCGAGGGCAAGAAGCAGAGCAGGAAAACAGCCTTTTTCACCCGCTTGGGAAACTAGAGCCTCCAAAATTATCTCATTTTTAAATCAATATGCAAGATTTGCTATGACCTTCTCACAGATGCGTGATACTGGTTAATATTAACACATGAGCAGCAACGAATGAGTCATAATGAAGGGCAGAGTGGGCGAATGAAACCTTTCCTAACAGAAATCCTGTCATGATAGGCTAAGATATTATGGACTGGCAAAGAGTAGTGATCTTCTTTTAATGCACTGTCATTTCTGGACAAGGCCACCAGATAATGAAAAAGGAAGCCAATGGATAGATTCCTTCCGTGTCCTATAAACTCTCTTAAATGTTATGCTCTCAAATGCTTTTAGTTATTTCATTTTTCCCCAATTTAATACCAAGCAAACTGTCAAAAGACATGAGCCCAATATCAAGACCTCCAAATATGGAACCATGTAACACAGTGGTTCTCAACCTGGGGTCCCCAGATGTTTTTGGCCTACAACTCCCAGAAATCCCAGCCAGTTTACCAGCTGTTAGGATTTCTGGGAGTTGAAGGTCAAAAACAACTGAGGACCCCAGGTTGAGAACCACTGATGTAACAACACTATGAGTAAGGGAGAAGTTTGGGTTCAAGGCCTTCTTTTGCCTCAGGTGTCCCTTGCAAAGCCTTTTCACAGAACGGAAGAAATCTGTACTATTTTCTCTCTAGGTAACAGCTCAATGAGGTTTTCTCTGATACCACTTTGGGAAGGCAATTGGGGGGGGGGGGGTAATATATCAATGTTTGGAGAGTGAATGGAGTCCCAGTCTCAAGATTCACCTGGATCTACAAATCCCAAATGAGTGAGAGGGGCTTCATCCCCACTGGCTTTCCTAAGCAGAGAATGAAAAGCTCACAAAGAAAAGCTTCCCGAAGGGCTGCTGTTTGGATGTTTCAGCCTGTGATGCAAATACTGAACCAAAGATGGCACTCGACATTTGGGATCTTAGTCCAATTCCTGCAACACACTCCTCAGATGGATGTCTGCCCAATTTACACTGGAATTTACTTATGCCTTAAAAACACACATTGCGGTGTTTTATTACAAATTATTTTAAATCTAAGTTGTCTATTTTGGACACCCAACAAGCAAAACTGCATTTAAGGCTGTGTGCATAAAACATAAGCATAATTTCTCTGGCAGGTCATAAACCTCAAGGTGTAAGTGAAGCCCTGTGTGTTCTTTTACAACTGAGAAATATCATGAAAGTGTTCTTGTATTTTGCTCCTGGACACTGGCAGATATCAACTTTTATACACAGTGTTATTGTTTAAATCACTGGAAGGGCAAGCAAAAAGGTGGGACCCCTTGAAGCCGCCCCCATAAATGGCCAAAGCCGAGACTGGCGGTGGTAGTCTCTTGGCTGCACGATGCAGAATGATGTAACTCTTACCTGTTTGTTAGCAAACACTAAAAGGACAGCGTCTCTGAGCTCATCCTCCGCCAACATCCTCATAAGTTCTTCTCGGGCCTCATTGACTCTCTCTCTGTCATTACTATCGACCACAAAGATCAAACCTACAAAGGAAGAATGAAGTGAGCATGTGTTAGGGATTCTAGTAAATGTAAGCGCTATACTTCATTTATAAATAAAGCAATGGGAATATTCGGTTCTCCAAATTTTTGTCATCATCTAAGGAGGCAAATTATCCACTCCATGGGACATAATCTTGGATTAAATTAAGGACAGACATCAAGGAAAAGAATTCCAATTTAGAAAGGTTGTAAGCACTGAATTCAACTTATTTTCCCACAAGAGGTAAAAAGGTCTAGAATCTACATATCTATTTACCAAATACACCAGTTATTGGGTTTAAGTCTGTCATACTGGTGGGTGAATTTATGGTACATTTTGCTACAGTACCATTTACTCAAAAAGTATTGCTTTTTATCCAGCTACATGTGATGCATATGCAGACAGCTATCTCCTGGGTTCAATTCAAAATCCAGACACAAACGATTCAGTTGACATCAGAATGTAGTAACAAACAGGAAAGAATGTGCAATAACTCTAAACAAGATATTTTGGAGAAAGGCATAAGCTGACGGGTATGATATATAAATTAAAACCAATTGTTAACAGCAGCAGCAATTTCAGCTGCATGGAATATGACACTCTCTCACTGTCCGACCCCATCTTTCAGCCAAGATGTCCTAAGAGAATGTTGGAAGGTCTCCCATTCCCTGCACAGTTAAGATAAATATTGCTCCTGAAATTTCTACGAGCAAAACTGATATGGTCAAAGCACATCACAACCTATTTGGAGAGAAGCCATCAACCTGGATATTTTAGGCACTCCCAGGTAGAAAACACCAAAGGAGAAGCTATGTAGAGTGGCTATTCAGGGGCACAAATAATGAGGCCCATAGCCATGTACTTGTAAGTCCTGACTTCCTCATGGGTTCCAACAGCATCAAGCTGGTTGAGTGTTTTTGAGCTAAACTGATATAGAAGTGATTGACTTCTATATATAAGTTGCCAGAATATTTTGGTCCCACAAAGAAAAACTCAGTAAGCTATTTACCAGCAAGAGAACTCCAGGTTATAATGCATTTTTTTTATCTGAAAGCTCAGCTTTACTGCCACTGAGTTACAGGAGCTTGTCTTAGTATGCATAAGTATTACTGTTATTATATTTATTTATACCCTGCTTTTATTTTTTAATCAACATACAAAACTGTATAATTTCATCCATATAGAAAACTGCTTCATATCAAGAGAAGATAATCTACCTTAAGTACTTTAGAGGGAAAAAAAGAATTATATAAATGCAACAAATACCAAACATCAGACCTTACTGACTGACCATTGCCCCTTCCATGTTTCAGACAAGAGTCTTATACAGCTCTAGTGGAAAATCACAGAATGAATTCGGGGCCTTACATTTAAATGCATTGAGCAAAGACTAGTCTCCACCACTGAACCAAGGTACTAAAGTTAAGGTTATTCCCTGACTTTAGCATTTGGCTCACAACTATTTTGACAGCATAAGGCCAAGCAGGTGACGCAACATTAAGTGCCACTAACACCAAGCTCCCTGCATACATCACAGATGCGACACCTTCTGTAAACTAAGTCTGTTACACAAACAAAACATGTGCCAATTTCTCAAGGAATCTGCTAAATCAGTCTGTGGGCTGGAAGTAATGCTTGCAGAAAATCTATCAACTCTGATGGATACAGCAGTATCTTTATTAAAAAGCCAGGAGGCTAATAATGAAAAGATCATCAGAAAGTAAGTGGCCAAGACATAATTTTCATTGCACTGACTGGCTTACAAAGTTGTTTCAGGATTTTCTTGACCTGCTCTATCCAGACAAGGAAGGACAATGAACTAGCATTACTGACATCTGGCCATCACCTTCTTTGGAGGTTTTTAAACAGAGGCTGGATGGCCATCTGTCAGAGGTGCTTTGAATGCAATATTCCTGATTCTTGGCAGGGGGTTGGACTGGATGGCCCATGAGGTCTCTTCCAACTCTATGATTCGATGACAGGGAGTTCTGGCGTGAGGTGGCCCATGAGGTCACAAAGAGTCGGAAGCGACTGAATGAATAAACAACAACAACAACAACAACAACAACAGAGATCTAGCTAAGTGTTATTGCCAACATATAAGAAGTACCACCAAGCCATTAATAAGATTTGGTTCATAAAATCATACTACTTCTGAAAAATAAAGTTGGATTTTGAGAGCTGTTCAGCAGTGGAACTCTCTGCCCCAGAGTGTGGTGAAGGCTCCTTCTTTGGAGGCTTTTAAACAGAGGCTGGATGGCCATCTGTCAGAGGTGCTTTGAATGCAATTTTCCTGCTTCTTGGCAGAATGGGGTTGGACTGGATGGCCCATGAAGTCTTTTCCAACACTAGGATTCTATGAGTATTGGGCTCTGGGGACCAGAATTTGAATCACTTCTGTCATGGAAACACACTGAGTGATCTTGGGCAAGTTCGACTCTCAGCCTCAGATTTGACTTAGGGTTGCCATAAGTCAACAATGACTTTACAGTACACACAGCAACAATCTGGCTTTTGAGGTGAGTTGGAACAGAAAGTTATTTATACTCTGCTACTAAATTAAAAGCAGGGCAGGGCTTCCTTTCCTTCTTTAACAGAATTTATGCAGCTTGGCTCATAAATTCTATGGTGGAAATGGAGATGAGAAGGAAACATTGAAGGCATCCTGGACAAGCACCATCTTCTACTACTATATGCGTTCCCAACCCTGGAATACCTAGCATGACTACAGTCAACAACAGAATCATTTCTGTTTATTATTGCTTACTGCTAAAAGGTGATCTGGTGTACATTTGTTAGATTATTAGTACATCTCACTTGATTAGAGCAGTAGGCTCTTTCCTAACCTCCCTTAGAGTACAGTCTGGGTCACCTGTATAAAACAAGTGCTGTCACTGAGTTATGGCCGTCAATACATTTTGGGGAATGCAAAGATTAGCTCAGAAAAAAAACAAACATTTCAAATACCTCTAATAGATAAAGTCCTACATGTAAATACATTAATTTAGTTTATCACAAACAGGTGATCTCCTCTATGTACACAACATTTGATAATTAGTTTGACAGAGTTCTACAGGATACTGATGGCATTCTTCAATCTTGAGACAGCTGACAAATTCATTTGATATTTATCAGCACAGAGTTTATACAGTCACTGAAATAGCTTCAGGTATGCTGACACAACAATTAAGCAGGTTTCTGTAAAAACAAACAATACGCAGAAATCAAAGAGGGCAACTCACCTTGTGTGTTCTGGAAATAATGGCGCCAAAGTGGTCTGATCTTATCCTGGCCACCTACATCCCACACCGTGAAGCTAATGTTCTTGTATTCTACTGTTTCTACATTGAAACCTGAAAAGAGAGAGGGTGGGATAGAAAGCAATCAATAAACGAGGAAAATTTGAGATTATCAATTTTGTCCGAAGCAGAATGCATGCAGTCCCTAAGTTACGAACAAGGTAGGTCCTGCAGGTCTATTCTTAAGTTGTATTTGCATGTAAGTTGAAACAGGGACATTTTAAAGTGTAACTCTAGCCATAAAGATAGAGATAGATAGTAGCTTTGGATAGCATAGGGAAAGGTTAACAGTCCTGTGGGGTTTTCTTTGCTGTGTGTACCCCTTTTTGGAAGATTTCACCTCACTATCTGTACCTGTGATAATTGTATTTTGATAAATTTGGTTTGTTGTAGAAACAAGGATTGGTGCGAAAGCTTCAGTGGAGACACTTTCCCCATGATAACCATTTCAGAGGTGAATTTCCCTTTGAGGGGTAGATTTATCTCACTTCCTGTTGTCTCACCCATTCTTCACTGAGTTGTTTGTAACTTGGGGACTGCCTGTACACACATACTGCTACATAAGCGAGCATCAAATAAGAACTCACATTTTGGAAACGGAAATAGCTAATACTGTATTTATTTATTTATTTATTTACTTTATTTGTATACCACTGTTCTCAGCCCTTAGGCGACTCACAGCGGTTAACAACAGTAGCAGCAAAAATTCAATGCTAACATCAACAAAATATTTAAAAATAATTAACACAATAATAGACGAGACAATTAACATCAATAACCACTCATTGGCATCTCATAACTGAAAACATGATCCAAACTCGTCATCCGTTGTTCCGTTCCTATATTCATTGCACTGCCTATTCAGACTCACATATAAATCAAATTTATATGTACATACTGATGTAAAAGTCTGTTTTTTCTTTTTGTTTACAAAATACGGGTGCAACCTGTTTCTATTTGGGATCCAGTGCAAAGGCAGTGACACCAGCTAAGAAATCTGTCTTGGCATGGTGAAGTGCCACCCAAGTCTTATGAGGCTAAAACAATAGACCCTACTAAAAATGGATACCTAAGTTTATTACCGGGAAGTTAATATACTGTACCCTTTTAAAAAATGACCACTGCATATTTAGAGCACTCAAAATAGCTATCACACTTTCTTTGGGAAGACCTACACTGTTGCTGAATGCCACTTCAGCCAAAACGGAAAGTGGGGAAGGATTTGATTCCCTTTAAGACTAAGTGTTGCTTCCAGGATTCAGCATATCAAGAGGGGCTTCTCTCAAACCAAACCAGAAATATCTTCCAAAAGGCAAAGCCTGATTTTGCCATTTTACATAAGGGACACCATTTTTATGCCATTGTATATAATGAGACTTCAGCATCCACGAATTTGGATATTCTGTGTATGTGACCTAAAACAAAAATCCTTTGGATACCAATTAGAAGCTTTCTGATAAATAACAATACTAGCTGACACACATTTTGGTGCCTGAAATGTTAACCCTGTTTCTGGATATTTTTGATCTGCTGAATTCAAAAATGGCACCAGCTTCCCCCTATCAGCTCTAGTTTTTGAGATATAGAACGTATACCATCTACCAGTTGTCATCTTCCTGCCCATAGAAAATAATAACAGATAATCATGAAGCTTCTAATAACTAAGAAACTAGAGCTGATGTAGTCTATTCAGTGCAATTTTCTGAATCAGCCCCTCAATTAACCCCAGGAACAGGCCTAAAACTCAAGACACCAAGAACAAGTTTTTTAAAATTGGGCTGGGTAATCTATTATGGTCAGCAATTCACCATTAAAATTAATCTAAATCTCAGGATAACTGGAAAACTGTGCCTGAAGGCTGGACTGAAAGGTGAAAAATGGAAATAAAAATGTTTGAAGAAATATTGGAGTTTTTGTGCTCCTAACGACCAAATCTTAAAGATCCATGAACTAAACAGGTACTATTCTGTCTTCCCAGCAACTCTCCAAAATTCTGTGCTCCAACCAAGTCTATTTAAGTGGAAAATAAATGTTTTGCCACATATGTATCATACACCAATGTAAATCAAACCTATAGTTCCCTCACAACACTGCACTGACCATACCAAGTCAGCCTTCACACCCCCAATTGTTGTCTTAATCTCATTTAAAACTTATTTTTAAAAACAGCTATATGTGAAGTTGCTTAAATTCTTACCTATAGTAGGGATGGTAGTTACTATTTCACCGAGTTTAAGTTTGTATAATATAGTTGTCTTTCCTGCAGCATCCAGTCCAACCATAAGTATACGCATTTCTTTTTTGCCAAAAAGGCCTTTGAAGAGATTAGCAAAAATATTCCCCATGGTCAAGTCTGGTATTCACTCACTGGCCAAAGAAACCTAGGAAATAAGAAATGAAAGACAGTTAGTTCCATATGAAATCATGGCCACATCTAGCTGTTTTAGGAATAAAATCCTCTGGAACTCAGTGGGAAACATTCCAAGCGTAAGCATGAACAAGCAGTTCACAGCAATGGAATTTCAATGCATAATGTAAGTTTTAAAAATATGACCAGGCACTCAGAATGAAATGATATTGTAAGTAGGAAGTATTTCTGAAGAGAAAGATAATACAAGATTATTCCACTTCCCTTAAATGAAAACAAACAGCCTCTCTAAACAGCGCCATGGCCTGCACTCATTTCCTGCCAGTAAAATGGGGATTGGTCTGATAACTCAGGGTTGGAAAGATCCAATTTCAGCCATTAAAATTCCAAAGCACCAGCATCACCAAACCCCTGGGGAATCACACTGCTCATTCTCCCCAATTGAGGCTACCGAGGTCTTAAAATTAGAAATTCAAACCAGACACGGTGGGGTTGACAAGGATATAGCTAGTTCCACGTTCATGCAAATATATGTACGTATAAAAAGAAGTAAACATTGTTTATAACATAGAGCCCTATAGTTAATTTATTTACCAGATTGGAATACTTCATTACTGGCCTTAAAAGAATGCATTTATTACCATTAATTCACAGAGGAATGCAAAATGTTTCATTCCTGTCCATGCTATGCTTCCACGTGAACATTTCTCCACCACTAAATGTGGAAGACAGAGGTGAGGCAACACCAGGGCTACACCTTTATTACACACACGCATACACAATTAGTAATAGCATTGTGACAGGTTTATTTTAGTAAAGTTTCTTTTTCTTAAAGCCTCAGCATAAGAAATAAGGATCAATGTCCTGTCTAAACATAATTTAGAATTTTTTTAAAAAAAATCAAGTAGCAGCCTAAAAGAAAATGGTGATATTCAGTATCATTAAAAAAGGTTTCAGTATTCTTATGGTTTGAGAATTTTTAAGTTAAATTCCTGTGCCAGTTTTTTTTTAAAGAAAAAAACAACCCTGGTACCCTGTTAGTTTTTCCTGATGAAAAGAAGTAGCCCATGGAGTCAATATTACACACCATAGTTTTAGACTTGAAGTGTATCACTGCTGGTCAAATTATTATGGAACAATTAAAGTAAGTGCCACAATCAATATGTTCGCTCAAGTTAGGTAGTGTGTTCATCCTATCTTACCAAAATCAAACTACTACAAACCACGAACACCATTTAGCACAATAAAAACAAGTGATAATTTTGTATGAAAAACCGTTGAAGTATCTAACTGAACAAATGGCTAAAGCAAATAATTAGGCACCAAAATGTTTTGAACAAACCCCTGGTTTGAACATATCCAACTATCAGCTCCTACTTTATTTATTTATTTACTATATTTCTATCCCACTCTTCTCACCCAGAAGAGGATTCAGAGCGGCTTACAGATATGGAAAAAAATCAATGCTGCATTACAAATAAAAACAAATAAATACACAGAGTAATAAAAACAGATAAAAGCAAATAAATACAATAAAAACAGATTACAAACACAGCGCCTATACCCATAGTAATAATCAGTGCTGCTACATTTGTGTCACATTTCATATTGTACTATTCCTCAAATGCCTGGTACCACAGCCGGATTTTCAACTTTTTCCTGAATATGAGGAATGAGGGGGACAGTCTAAAGGGAATTCCATAGCAAAGCAGCCACCACTGAGAAAGCCCTGTCTCTCCTCCCCACCAATCACGCTTGCGAGGAGGATGAGATTGAGAGCAGGGCCTCCCCGGCAGATCTTAATGCTCTAACTCAGGGGTCCTCAAACTTTTTAAACAGAGAGCCAGGTTACAGTCCCTCAAACTGTTGGAGGGCCGGATTATAATTTGAAACAAACTTGAATGAATTCCTATGCACACTGCCCATATTTTATTAGTAGTGCAAAAAAACACTTAAAACAATACAATAATTAACATTAAGAACAATTTTAGCAAATATAAACTTAATAGTATTTCAATGAGAAGTGTGGGCCTACTTTTGGCAGATTATATAGGATTGTTGTTGTTGTGTGCTTTCAAGTAATTTCAGACTTAGGTTGACCCTGAGCGAGGGCAGGGTAAATGACCTTGGAGGGCCGTATTTGGCCCCTGGGCCTTAGTTTGAGGACCCCTGCTCTAACTGGTTCATAGAGAGAGATACATCTGGGCGGGTAAGTTGGACCAAAATCATTTAGGGCTTTTTAGGCCAAAGGCAGCACTTTGAATTGTGCTCAGTAGCAAACTGGCAGCCAGTGGAGCTGATGTAACAGCTTTCTGTATGCTGCTATAGTGAGCAGCCTGCCTGCTGCTTGTTGAACGACTTGGCGCTTCTGAGCAGTCTTCAAAGGCAGTCCCATGTAGAGCACGTTGCAGTAGTCTATTTGAGATGTAACGAGAGCGTGGACTACCATGGCTTTAAGCTTGCCCAATGTCATCATGTATAACACTCAAGAAAATATGTGACAACTCAGTTCCCTTTGGTACCAATGTAACAAAACCTTAAATAACAGGGATAAACAGGTGTTAATGAGTGGGGGTTCATTTACGTTGCCAGATCAGTATAGATGCAGGTGTAAAATGGGAAATAAACACCTATCTTGTCTAGGAGTTTCCACTAATTGCAGAATTTCAACTGCATGCATCAGTGTTTAGAATAGCATATTTGGACTGCTAGCAGAACACACATGCCATATTTAATAATCATATGTCCACAGATATAGACCACTGCACTGCATTCTTGAGCCCATTAAGTACAGTATGTGACAATTCAGACCTACATTTGAAATGGGTTCGAACTCAAGTATCAATGCCTGGTTAATTTCAATGTAAGAATTTTAGGTACAGGCATGTTTGAATTTGTAATCCCAACTCATGAACTTGAGTAAATGTTTAGGGTTTTTTTTTTTTTTGGAAGAAGGCACAATAGAAATTCAGTAAGTACAGAGCACAGTGAGACTACTTTAGAACAGACCAATGTCCATTTACAGGGAAAGGAGTAAAAAAGGTATATCCAATGATTCATTCTCTTTTGGAACTCTGTGAAACTATAAATATTGCTGAGGGGGTACAATGCGTGATAATTCAGGTTGCATCCAATATTTAGAAATGTTTTATTAACATTAGATGCATGAAACAAACATTTTGGAATCTTTATCCAGGAGTATTTAAGGCTCTAAGCTAATTAGGTTTATACAATTCATTTACTCAATGTTGACACAGTATGCCCTGTTACTCAACTTTTAGTTTTCTTTTTAATTCTTTGGTCAATATTTGAAAGGACTGCAAAGGAAGCACTTACTGCTCTATGAGGTGATTTCATACTCCCTTCTTATATTACACCACCCTGTCATTCTCGTCCACTGAAATGGAAGCAAGCCATCAAAATGCAGCAAAATCCAAATGGTCACAAAAGATAAAAGCCTTATTAGGCAACCAAAATGCAGAAGCTTTTGAAATTTCACTGTCTTCTTTAGCAGATAAAGATGTTAAAAAACCACACAGAAGAAGTCATAAATATCCCAAACTAGTAGCTGATCTTGCCAACAGACTGGATGTGGACAAACAAAAAGAAGCTTAAGACAGAGTGGTGCTCGTGGTCAACTGCAAGGCAGGTGATCTTAACAGGGCTTCAGGTGGTATTAGTTGGGAGTCACATTCCCCATGAAGACTTCAATTTAAAGTTTGGTGTATTCCCAGATTCAGTCCTGAAGCCAGGTTGCAATAGCAGCCTTAAGTGAACTCAAACCAGTTAAGTCTACTATGGCACAGTTCTCAGGAGATCATGCCAGTAAATGCCCTGCTTTGGTACAATCCAGCATTTCCAGGTCCTCAACCTTTCAATCTCTGTTGACACACCTGATGTAACCAGAGTCTCACCCATTATTTGATTGTGCAATATTCTATCCTGTTTTCTGCAATAAGTCATTTCCTGCTGTCCCTTCCTTCCCTACAGATATAAAAAACCTTTGGCCTTTGTGAATTTAACCCCCCTCCCAATCTGATCTATACCTTATTATTCTCTCTACAGTGTACAAGAAAACTGCACAAGAAATCTACTACGGACCTTATTGTTGCTGTTACCTGCCTTTAAATTAGCTTTGACTTATTTACTTACTTACGAGATCTCTCATTGTCCGAGTAAGACTGTTCTCCAAGTTCGGTGTTCTGACGGTGGGTACGTAGGTCACTGTGGTGCCCTATTCTTGACCTGCATCTTCTCTTGCAGTGAGGGCATCGGTTTCCAGGTGGAAGGCGGTCACGCTCAGGGTTGGCTTGACACGCCTTCCTCTTCACACGTTTCTCTCTTTCACCATTCATTCGTGCCTCTTCAAATTCTACAGCACTGCTGGTCACAGCTGGCCTCCAGTTGCGCTCAAGGGCCAGTGCTTCCCAGTTATCTGTGTCTGTGCCAGTTTTTAAGGTTGGTTTTGAGCCCATCTTTAAATGGCTTTTCCTGTCCTCCAACATTCAATTTTTCATTCTTGAGTTAGGAATAGAGTAACTGCTTTGGGAGACTGTGATTGGGCATTCGGACAACATGGCCAGTCCAGCGGAGTTGATAGCGGAGGACCATCGCTTCAATGCTGGTGGTCTTTGCTTCTTCCAGCACGCTGACATTTGTCCACCTGTCTTCCCCAGAGATTTGCCGGATTTTTCCGAGGCAGCGCTGATGGAATCTTTCCAGGAGTTGCATGTGACGTCTGTAGATAGTCCACGTTTTGCAGGCATATAGCAGGGTTGGGAGGACAATAGCTTTATAAACAAGCACCTTGGTCTCCCTACGGATGTCCCGGTCCTCAAACACTCTGTGCTTCATTGGAAAAATGCAGCTTTGACTTATGTTGACCCTATAAATGATAGACATCTAATGCATCCTATCCTCAAAAGGCCTACTCAGGATTTGAGTCTGTCTTTTCCTACTGCCCTTCAGTTTTAGAGTGAGCCATCTTTTCTCATGATGTGGCCAAAGTATAAT